TGTCGTTCTCGCTACACTATGTTGGAGCAACACAGAAATATGTCTACTAACTTTATATGTTCTGCATTCAGTTAGTAAATATCCGGTCTATTATAGATGTTTTATTTGCTTTTAGTGGTAAGCTATTACCGGGCGGTGTACAAATGTTCCCCCCTGGCGGCTTGTGACTTCAGAGCATGTAAGTTGAAATCACCAGTAATTAAAACGTGACTGTGTCTACTGTCTATCACGCGCCTTAATGCAGCCATCAAATTTCAGATGTGGAAAATGGGTTTGGGGTAAACAATGACCACGAAGCAAACGTCGTTGATTCAGATACCAAATGGAATCGGGTACATCGGTTCGCAATGGAGGTGGTTGGGAGAATACAGAACCACCGCATCACCATTACCAGCGTAGTAAATCTGAAACAGCGACATCCTTTAAGGTTGAAAATAGACTAATTTTCCGAGTAAGCCTTGGGGGAATGAATTTACGCCAACCAATGTGTGGACGGTGGTTACTCGCTTTCGGACCGGTTGGCAATACAGAAGTTGGCAACAAGTCCTGATACTGTGAAATGCCGTTTGCAACCAAACCTGTACGTAACGTTGGCTGCCCAAAGGCAGTAAGATCAGAGGTTGCGGGTGAATGTGCTTGTGAATCACTGTGAGGAGACAGCAGGAATATCGACGTTATAGGTAAGTCAGTAAAATTTTCCGATGTGCGTAATACGATATCTGCCGGCTTCGAAAGCAGTTCTGAAGGCAGTCTTCTGCGGATTTCACGCCACATATGTTGGATGTACAAAACCATTTGCTGGGGTTAATCTACGAGTTTTAGTATCAGTATCCTTTTTAACGAGATGTAGTTAATCTTGATATCGACCAAATAATGATACCATTGATTAATAGAGTTGCACGGATGTATTCCTATTCTTCCATATCATACGATCGGATCTCGCCGTCATTAGTTATTGACAGTTCCGGTGCATCATGGATAAGCATGGTTTCGCTCTCGGTTACTAGTGCAGCGGTTTGTTTCGTGTTGCCTCCGTTCGTTCCACGGAACACCTGGGAAGATGCTTACCCCAGTGTCTCCATCCCGAAAACGAGGTGACTACGGGGTAACGGCCTAAATATCGTTCACAAATCCGTGTTTGAGTGTATAGTAGAGCACATTATATCAAGGGGGTCTAGCCTGCACACCAATCTGGTCAGAAATGGTATTCTACTGGTTCAGATCGTCCGCCTGTTAATGCATTTGTTTTGGACTCCAGAATGTCGGTGCACACAACTGTTAGCGCTCCATAGTTTCGCCTGCCCTTCAGTCGTATTGTGAGCGAGGTGACAGGTGTCTTTGGTGGGTTACTGGATGCAGTTGGCAACGATCCCAATAATTGCGCTACCCTTACCGTCTGTTACATTTGTAGCGGCTAATATGTTGAGAAATAAACATTGCGCAAGTGACGCGATGTATGAAAAATGGTTTCGGATTCTGTCGGTTGAGCAGTATTGCAGGTGTTGCCAAAGGTGATTCGGTTGTGGCACGTAAGAGAAAAGGATATTTGGATTTGGGCGTGATTCGATCGGCTGAGATGCCGGATAGATTTGGGGTTCTCAACATGGCTGGCACTAAAACGCTTCGAGAATGCCTGACCACTATCTTTTGCTGAGTAGCAGGAGTTGAAGCAGATAGATGTTGTACACGCGCTCATTCGAAGTTCAGTTTCAGCCATTAAACTGCCGTGCTTTGGCGACAGTCTCAAGACACACTGTACCAGTGGAACAGTTGAAAACGCAGCAAATGACCAAAACCGGTCTAGAATATTTCAGTGCGGCTTTATTCTGGATGGATTTAGATGAGACGATAAGAGCATTCCAGTGTTAATCAAATCAGTTTAATGTTCATTCCCTAGATACTTGTGAGAAGATGATGGAACTAGAGAAGGCGCTGGCTATCCGCCTTGGCGATGCTGACTGCATCGTTTCAGGCAGCGACATGTGGCAACATATCCGTGAACCGGTGACGGCTGCTGCTCAGCAAACCACCAAACGCATAAACTGGAAGCAGCCCGATTAGCTTGATGACAACAGTGCGACCATTTGCGCATTGGTGTCGAAGAAGAAAGTAGTACTCGCTGCACACGTGAAGCACCTGTCGACTCCGAGGAGGAGAGTCATTTTCGCAAACTTCGACAGCGATTGACTCGAGAGCTCTGTCGCATCAATAGTGCATGCTGGACGGAAAAGGCGAAGCAGATGGAATGCTACGTCGAACTCCGCCAGCATACGGAATTCTTCGACTCATTAAAGGTGTATGGACCACCATTGCAGCCGATTAGGACGCTGCTTGATCTTATTCCAGGTGTTGAATGTACACCGACTACAGACATAATGCAGGGCTGGCGAAAGTACTTTGATTGTCTCTTGAACAACCATTCAGAGATTGACTGGACTGTTGCACGGGGTGCAACAACAAATGATGTGTCTGGCCGACACTAGATGGGACGTAGAGAGCACTTGCTCAGCTGCGAAACGGTAGCTGCACCTGAAAAGACGAGATACGGCAAGAAGTGTTGGAACACGGAGGAGCCGTGTTGATACATGCGCTGCAACAATTGGTGTAATGTGCGTCCGCGATTTATAAAGATAATGGGGCAAGCAAAATGCCACAAAATATCGTGGTATTATTAGGCAACCAAACGGGGTAAAAACGTCGCACGGCATTTCGACACTAGACTGTGTCAACAGTACAAACGGTTTTCACGTGAGACGCGCGATGAGCAGACCAAACATGGAACACAGCTGAGATGTGAGTGGCTGGCAAAACTCGCATGGGCGTCGGCTGAATGAACGAGTGTCGTGCCTTAACGCGAACAAACGGCCAAATATAGCAAAGCAGTCACGCGGAACGCGTTCACATTGGTTAAGGCCAAGACGGGAGGATCGCGGTTTCCATTATTAGAATAGAATAAACAGTCTACCGAGACGCGACTTTTGGATTCTCAGCAGGATTGGGTGCCAGGCAGAGAGGAACGTGGGCGGCATTACCACACAAGAAACAGTCCAACAGGTGTCAACCTGCTAAGTTGTATCAGGGAGGTGATCGCAGGAATCTTGTTCAACTGCCTCGTCAGTCAGGTAGTTAAACCGAACGTGGCGGAAGAGCGATGCGGATTCCGATCGAGCCACAACATCATAGATATGGTGTTCGCAGCTCGTTGACCGCGAGAGGAATGTTGAGCGATACCAGCCATTGTATTCGCTATTGGTTGACTTCACCAAGGCATTTGACATGGTGAACAACGAGGCACTGTGGCTGGTAAGTTTTGTTGCTCGAGTAAGTTTAATCGAATGTTTGCACGGTTGTGTCTTAGCTCCTGACCTGTTTAATATTTCTCTTCATGCGATGATGTCTTGTGGTTTCGATGCCGTTTGGGCGTACAGTGTCCGTGTGGAGCACGGTATTGATAGTGGATTGTTGAAGATCCGTTATTTCGAGTGTGAGACAACCATCCGCGTGTTGCTGTTGGCGGGCGACTACGCGTTGTTTGCACACAGCGTGGATGAGTTGCAGCGCATGAGGACGGCTCTCGCTTCGATAGTGACCAATGTCGGACTCATCATAAGCGCAAGCAAGACTGTTCATCTTTTCTAACCATCACCGTGGATGAAACCCGCGGGCCTGCCGCAAATCCAGACCGACAAGGACACTTCGAAGAACTTCTCGATAGTTTGCTACCTCAGGAGCGAACTTTCTATGAAACTACAGATGACGAGCGAACTGTGCATCCGTTTATCGAAGGCGGCTGCTGTAGTTGGAAACCTGGAAAGTCGGGTGTCATAGAATCATAGGCTGACGTTGGGAGGAAGCCGTCAGTGCACCAGTCGGTGGTGTCATTCGTCCTTCTATATGGCAGCGAAACTTGGACGTTGTGCCGGAAAGACATCCGGTATCTGGAGCGCTTTCACCAACAGTGTCTGCGTCGAATTCTGCGCGTCGGTTGGGGTGACCAAGTTGCAGGCATGAAAGTGCTGCACCGAACTGGCATGTAAGCAGTCGACTGCATACTCCTGCTGCGGCACTCGAGGTGGGTCGGACATGCCCGCCGCATGCACTCGACCCGGATGCTGAAACAGTTGCTTTATGGCCAACCGCATAAAGGAAAGCGGAATGCGGGAAAACGGAAATTACATTACCAGGACTTGATCAAGGTGGGTTTATCACGAACTAATGTTGATTTCAGGTGCAAGGAATCAAAGTCAGTTGATCGGCTCGAATGGCTTGAGCTGATCTAGAAGGCGGTTGAACAGGTGCAGCAGAAAGCACTGTTGCATGCAGAAGAAGAACATCGGGTGCGGTTGTCGATGATGAGCTGAGTGTTAAGACAGTAGGATCAATCTGTAGATCAGAAACTTGTGGAATAGATAAATAAAAATGCATGAGCTAGATCCACCGCACAGGGAGCGGGTGACCGGAGACGTTCGTTACGGGCAGATGATGTTCATTTGACGGTATAGCAGCGGCGGGTGGACGACACCGCGATACCGGGGCATGAAGTACATGAACCATGTACACACAGAAGTACTCAGATGGGTACATGCTATTGTTCTGCAACGGCTTCGTCTTAAAAGAGCGAATAGGGCTGCCAGGCTGGGATAGGTATCGGGGTGAGGATCTGAGCACAGGAACAAGGGGGGCCGTGTAAAACATGGAGATGCAATATATACCAGAATATAACCGCCTCGGATGGTGCTTGTGGACACCAAGGCTAAGAAGAGAAGGGAAACTGAACGCATGACAAGCTTTACAAACAGGAGGCATCGATGGAGCCGGCCAGTAGATATGAGCTGAAGAGAGAAGACAACAAATGATAAAGTGACTGAGGCTATGGCACGGTAAGGAACGGAGCCATATGAAAGAAACTGGGCATGCGGGAAGGCAGGGGTTAATGTACCAAAAAATAAGAGTTGAAGCGACCAGAATATCAAGAGTAGCTAAAATCACGCAGATGCATGCTACACGTCCGTGTCAGAGTCAATGGCTGCCATCCGGTCGTGTGAATCAGACCGACTCCACGCTGCTACATTTGATGTCGTTTTGTTGGGGAGTAATTTTTGTGTTCGATGGCTGTGGGCCTTATTCGTTCTGAAAACCCCATCAGTGACTCCCGACTGCGACCATCTAGAATAGAGGAAAACAAGGGGCAGTTATAATGAATACAAAACGAAATGAAATGTTCCAAGCGAGACTACAAGTGAGAAAAGCGGAAATAACGATTTCCTGCAAATGAAGTGTTTCGGCGAAACCGTAACATTCGCTAACAAGGGATCACTATTACAACCCATATACTATAGCACTCGTGAGTTGTCTGGGCCAAAGAGGATATTAAGCTTAGCCAAGAACGATGAGTCAGAAAGGCACCAGATTGTAAAAATTGTTACGGGCGCGAATTATATGGTTAAGGATTACAACTAACTGCAAAAAAGTATAATGCCAAGCGAGCTGAGACCGAATTCTAGTGGAAAATAAATATTCGGTGGCGCTTCATATCAATACAAAGATGGCTCCACAAACACAACGGGAGAAAATGAGCAGGCTTGATTATGATACGTGATTATGGGCATGGAAGCACGTAGAAGGGATGGACGGCAAGGACCGAAGTCGATCGGCTTTTTATTGATGTAAGACACACCGATATCTATGAGTGAAAACCATTTACAATAAAAGGAAATCAGTTGTAAGTGACAATTCGCAACGCGTAAACCCCTAAAACCTTCAAAAAAGCAAGGCTGGGACTGACCCGTGGTATTATGTAATAATTATATGGTAATAAATGATATAAAAACCACATTTTCCAAATAGTACAAAATAGAAGAAGCAGCCAGGATCAGCGCTTGAGAATCAATCCACTGATGGACACGGCTGTACACAACTGAAGTTAAAGCGTTACCAGCTGATTGCATGACACTTGTACATCGGTGCCAGACAAGTGGAGAGTGAGCGTGCAAGAAGGATGCACGTACAATCATCGAAAGATTGATGGCGACAGGGTGAATCATCAAAACACGACTGATATTACGTGAGATCAAGTGGACGGATAGAGAGTCACATGAAATGGCTGGGATTGGGGACCAAGAAGAGACTGTAATTGGGAGATGAAGGCGGAGACAACGGCGCGAAAATCCTGAAGATGCTTGAAGGCCGAAGTAGAGACAGGTGAACCCTAAGGGTGTACTACAATCGGTTCCGATTAAGTACGACGTGATGCGGAAACTGCAGGCCTGACTGCCGGTGGTCAAAGAAAGGCACTGAAAAGGCATTTCTAAGTAGTGAGTAAAAATAAGCGATTATTGAAGACGGGAGCACGTACACATCCTCTAACTGAATACGTTCCATCACGGTTTCTTCTTCGTCTTCGTCATTCGGGACCAGAAGGTAAGGATTATCGCTTATTGGTCGAAATTTGTATCCGACGGATACGAAGAACAGAAAAGTGATGGACTCCTTGAACAATTCGACAACCCAGGCGAAAGAGTACGACATGGTTACGGTGAGAAGATAGGCAACGACTCGAGTGAAGTAAACATAGCAGATGACCTGTGGTGGGAAAGTAGAAAAGATTGACAGTAGTTAACGTAGGCACTAGGCTTGAAACAGGCGAAGCGCGCTGAGAGAGGTGGATGGATAACAGAACAGGTTAGAACAATACTGGGGAGCACAAACGGTGATATCCGAAAGTAAAAGGTTGTGAGAAGGACGGGTGCACAAAAAGCAAGCAAACAACACTGCAAAGCAGTCGACTGATGAACACGCAGTTATTCAGAATGAGTTAAGCAATAAGAATGGATTTATGGAAAGAAAGGGGGCAGGAAGATAGGGCAATGTGCGCCGCCTCCATGTTGAAAACTGAAGACGAGGAGCTAGCAGTAAAACAAATCCCACAACATTTGACTGAGCACTGCAAAAATCTGGGAAGTATGGTAGATAACGACTAATGGATACATCGCTTCGGTTCAGGGGACTAAAGTACCCGTCATTATGCGACCACCAATTACAGACATTGAAGGAAAGGAACAAAAAGGAAGAGGAAGCAAAACGCAGTTGTATCAAAAGATTAAACACTTGGGATTAAGGGACCGGAGGCAATGATGTCGCTGGTGTCGCGATTGAACCGCGTCGAATAGAGTTATCCGACAACCATGTGGATGGACTCGAAGCAAGGCTACGGAATGACATGGAATGGTCTAACTCAGTCGATCAACCAGCTTACTTCAAAGTCATGGATATGTTAATGACAGACCACCGTGTAACATCATACAACCTGCAGCAACACATGATATAGTTGCGGCTTCCAAGTATGCCAGGTTGTAAACTGGTAAGGATAAAGGTTACCGCATCAGTGTCTTCGGAGTACCAAGTATGACGCTTATCAGGCAAATGTGGCAAGATACACAACCTAATGTTACAGCTGGTGTCCAAAAACGTTCGGTAAAACGGGGAGTACGCTCTGCAACACATCATCGAGGTTACCGGTCAAATCAACTTGACAGAGCACCAAGGCTGATATATTAGAGAGAAACAAGAGGTTTGTTTTTAAGAAGACTCGTGTCAGTCAGAAAGCCTTTACACATCAGGAAAGCTATAGACAGCATTTCGTCTTAATGGAATTCACCGGGTCCTGCAGGATCGGTGAATGCGCGCTACTAATAAATCCCAATAGGTAATAAGCACCGTCTACCGCATTCCTGGATGAACAGAGGCTCTCCGACCGAATCTAGTTGCGAACAACGTCAACTGATGATATACACGAAGGTATAACCTCAAGTCAATCATCATTTAATTAGGAAAATTAGAAGGGGTAAGTGGGAGAAGCCACTGAATTGCCTCACGGGGCAATTTCAATCACTCGGTCGTGAAACTGAGTAACCACCTGTAACCATCAGAAGGAGCGCAACAAAATCAACAGTCATAAAGGCTAAGATGTAAACGTTCACAAAAGAGCAGCCGAAGGTTATCCAAACTTGTCACTAAGGTCAGACAGCAAAACAGCAAAGTTCACTTAGCTCTCCGAGACGAGGATTTTTGTGGCTCAGGGCTAGAGCGTCCTGGCACAATGACAAGGGGACACCGTTGACTATACTGATACAGGCGTTGAACAGTTGATTTTGGAGCGGTGCAACAAGGATATGAAAAAAGCCTCGCGCGATGCCATAGTAAACAACAACAACAACAAAAGCTTTCGTTGTTATATTGAGTGACGCGGAGCTTCGGAATTGCATTCATGTTCCATATGTTGTCGCGCGGTTGGTTTAGTAATTCTTCGTCTCTGACGTCGGACGGAATCACTTTGATTAGGCGTGTGCATTTGGGTGACCAAGATGGAGGTCCAGCACCGAAGATCAGTGAACCGTAGAGCATACAGTATATTTTCAATACTTCTAGGGCTTCTTTCTCAGGAATTCCGTCGGGGGATATTGAGCATACTGTTCCGGAATTAGCTGATGTTTCTATGCTCTTTTATGTGGCCGAGATACATCGCACCTGGCTTGCCTTTACCTTGTGGTCTTTAGACCGTCGTTTGCATTGGGCGACGTTCGAATTAGGTTTCGCGGTGCGGCTTTGATGCACGCTAATTGTTGACGAACAAGATGTTGCTGTGACATTAGCGGGTGATGTGGAAGTGTTAGTTTGCAGGACAATGTACTGTTCGACTGCGCAACCAAGTTTTGCTTTTTTGGCAGTTTGCGTTAATTGTAGCCAATGGGCTCTCATTGTCTAATGCCTGGCTTTGTGTCTATTTCGGGCAAAAGTCTTCCGTGATCAAGGTAACGTTCAACAGCAGAATAGTTATTGTTACACATTCCGGAAAACGCTTCTCGTCGAGTTCTTCAAGTGCCTCGAAGGATACCCCGTGGACTCAGTACAAGTGTAAACCGCTTGGTTACGCAAGGGTTCGGGTGAAGACTGGGAAAGCGATTAGTTAAAATAGAGCTTCAGTATTGCTGTCACGAACTTAGGAGGGGACTTGCAGGAGGCGCGTGGTCAGTTTTAATGATAACACAGTGCAACAGAAAAGATTCATTTTCTATAGCAGAAATGCCAATGTCCCTATCTTATAGAATACACTCCAAAGATCATTGAAATGTATTACGAGGTTACCTAGCAAGTCAGGTTATATTGTAATAAGCGAGTGATTATTGTCAGTAATAGTAAGGCTACGTCGTATGAATTATATGTAAATGTACCGAGTCACAACATGTACAGAATGCATCTGCGACAAATACGTTTAAAACATCACTGCAACACTGTCCGATAACTACTGACTGCAGCTTGGTACTGGGAAATGAGCACTTCGCCGAGATCGTCACTTGTATGGTCCAGCGCCCCCACGCTGCAGAAATCAGCAAGTCACCCATCACAGAAAGCGTGTACTTGCCATTGCAGCGCTGCTCCGTGACTGAAATGTCTTGGTGAAAACGCTCACCATGCTCATCGCTAACAGATCCCAAGTTCTCAGGGAAAAAATCAAGGTCGTTATGTAGAAAGTGAGTCTTGAGTGACATTCGAGTACCAACAGCCTGATAGTCTGCAATGCGCTTTTTATAATGTTTTTGTAGTTCGCGTCCTTTGTTCTGCCCAATAGTCCTGTACACAATGCTTTGAATGACCTCCATGCTTCTAACATAAATGAAGTCAACTGACACTCGAAAGCACTGTCTGCCATTATCCGGCGAATAGCAGGCCCAATAAGAACGCCTTCTTTGAGCTTCGCATTACTGATGTTCGGAAACACTTGTTTCAGGTACTGGAACGCAAAACCATCTCGCCTGATGGCTTTGACCAAGTTTCTAATCAAGCCAAGCTTGATGTGCAGGGACGGTAGCTATATATGATCAAGTTGCATAAGAGGTATACGCTTTACGCTTATTTTCCCTGCAGCGTACTCCGTCCTCTCTGGTCACTTTGCTGTTGTGTAGTGCTGTTGAGTTTCGCTACTGTCCCATAGGTAAAAGAAACAGCAATATTTTGTGAGGCTTACATGCATACCAATTAGGGGTCCAATGGTTTTGAAGTCAACACAGATGTTCCAACAGTACTTATCGTAATTCAGTGCAGCGAGTATCTGTTGCATACTTTCGTAAGTCTCCTTCATATTGGTGGCATGCAACAGAAGCACGGTTGGGTACACATTTCCATTGTGGAGCAGTATGGCTTCAAGACTACTCTTGGACGAGTCAATGAACAAACGTCATTCATCACTAATATGCTTAACGCCTAGCTCCTTCATCAGTCCTTCCACGCCGGAACAGTAACAAAAGGTTTGTGTCGTGTCACAAAAACCGGAAATTTAACACTTCGATTTCTGTATACAGTAACCTTAGTGTTTGTGGCAAGTGAGTAACAATGCTGCTGTCGAGATGCCAAAAACTCGCTCTTGTCTTCAAACAATACTAAGTTACGTACCAAGTCATTCAGCTCTAAATGCTCACTGAGATGTGGGTTGACAACACCAGCTTCAAAGTTTTCTCAGATGTCAGAATCAGGGAAAGTTGACGATGCGGAATCACTACTCATCATGTGACATGTTCACGGGAGGCACTGGGATGGGTAACGTGGAATCATGAGGAACAGGTCGAATAGCTGTGGAAGATCGGGGTGATGAATTTGGTTCTTGTTTCAGTTGAAGATACCAATGACACTGGTTAAGCAGAAGTAGGAATTCGTCGTGTGACCCTTCGGCTCCCTCCACCCCAAGGGGATTGCAAAAAGCATTTTGCCTTTGCCCTTGAGCCACTGAGTCAGATGAAGATTTCACGACGCGGCGCCCACTTCTTTTCATGATCATCCAGTTTCGTCCCGAAATATGCGTGATAGGCAGACTTCAGTAGTGAAAAAATGGGCCTGCAGTGCGAATTTGTAATGAACTGTCCACTGACATAACCAAAAGGATTTCGGTCATTGACACAGCAGCGTCTTTCAGCCATGATCAACACGGTTAAGGAAACACAACTCTCAATAGATTTTCAGTATCAGGTGTAGATCATGGCCAAGAAGAATTTTTTCCACGATTAGAAGGGGCCCATGGACCAATCATAGGTGAGCATTCTTTGCATGGAACGCACTGCTTAGCTGAAATTATAAATTAAAAAACCTGATATGATGGAAACATTTAGTTTTCATATACGTAATCAGCTCACTTGGTACTACTAGAAACGTCCTACCTCATTTCTGTTATAAAAGTGAAGTTGTACAGTGTAACTGGTGTGAATTCCGCATTGTGTACTGATATACCGTTTAATATCACACATTCAACTAAGGGCTTTCACCAGCATCACTGTAAAGTCCAAAAGAACTATGATTTCTTTTACCAGATCGATTATCCCCCTTGATGACTCAGTGATCCTATTCCCACCTCTTTGCACCTTCCGAGCTAATAACATGCTTTTCGTGTTTTAGACCATTACACACTCAGACAAGTACCGTTTTACATTCCCTTCAAATGCATGCGCTTCTCTCAAGGTCACGCTTTCACCTGTCTACTTTTAACATCACTGTTAATGTTATCTGATTCCGCTGCCGTTGCAAAACTAATCTTC